ATGATTGCTGGTGTAATGTAACGTCGGTAATCATAGACTACGAGGCATGGCCAGTTGGAAGCGGTAGGCCTTAAGCGTTTTAATTAAACTTTTAACATTTACCCAACACCTGGAAAGACAGCATAAGCGAACCACACTCATACGTAAAAACGTTACGTGAAGTATTAGATTAGACTTTCAAAACTAAATTTGCAGTTTAATTCAAAATTTAATTTTAAAGTTGAACTTTTTACTGGTACAGCGTATATTTCTGTTTAATTCCTTTATCATTTAGAATAGCTATCGACCGATAACAGTCAATCCTTAAATTTCTATCCGCGTAATTTATGCCTGATAACATAATAACAAAGATGGCTCCCTGGTCGGCGGTTCGTCAAATATATGGCGAGGAATAAATGGGCTTTCGGTCACGGGGATTATTGGCTAATTGTATCTGCGCGCGGGGACTTTTTTAATGATCGTCGCCGGCTCCAGAGCGCCCCTTCTGGCCTGCAGCGAGAGGCAAAATAAAAGACCAGGATTTATATCAGCCACTTATGTAACGGTTTAGCTCACTGCTACATTTAACGAGGGAGGAGTCGCCTCCTTAATGCCGGCCGATTTATGCGCGATGCTTTTACATCAATCAAACCAAAAAAATATTGCAGTGCCAAATAAAGTCCCACCCTAGTAAACTAGGTATGTCACACTCCAGCTTCAAATTTTTTTTTTTTTTTTTAAATACTGTTTTATATTTATTCAGTTTTAGACGAAATTCACTTCCGAACTGCAGGCCGTATAATCAAGATCGAATACCTATGGTGCGACGCAACAAAACATAATCGCTTCATTTTACGAGCGTATTATACAGCCCCAGACCTATCTATCTCAACGTAAAACAAGCGGTCATTACTCAATCCAGAAGCCACTCGAAGCAATGCACTGAGGTATTGCAGATTGGGGTGGGCCACGTAGGTGAAGCGACATGACATGAAGCCAGGGGTAGCAGTCCACTCTCGCAAAATATATTTTATACTAATGTTATAGATAGCGCGGCGCAGGAAACTGTTTTTGACAGCATGGCGGCTGGTGGCCGAAGAGGCACCAGCAGAGAGCAATAACAATAACATAAAGTGCGGATTTGAATTCTGAATTCCCAATTCGAAAACCTGAATTCCGCATTTCTGAATTCGGTATTTCCCGGGCGCGCATAAGAAAAACATGGTCAAGCCGTTTAGATAACAGCCGACAGCCGTTGTGGCCTATTAGGTCCGACAACAACACCACCCTCCAGATTCGAGAGCAAACATATTCCTAGGAATGGAAATAGCTACAGTTTGGAGTTTTTGCTGCACGGTACTGATAGATAAATAAGCGATGTTAGAGATACGCTGCTATTACAGTAGTCCACAGTCCGGTGACCACAGATGTCTCCTGTATTTTGTATTGAAATGATTTTTTGTCATTCAAAAGATTTCAGTAATTTCGTAATTTCCGCACGTTCGCCGCGGTCAGCTTTATCTCCTTGATATATGCTGGTGATCCCGGTGCGGGTCGCGTTCAGCACTTTTGATCTCCTCGCGAGCTCCTTAGTCCTTAGTTACGATATCGCATTCTGATTGGAACCGCACACATGTGGATATATAGGACTTTGAGAGTTGGAGATCCAGCCGTTACGGAGTGGATTGCGGGCTCCCAGAGTTTGTGCTCGCGGCAGGCCCGGAGGGATCAGCAGCAAGTCCCTCGAGGAGGCGGAGGCTCGCCGTTCCCACGTCCATCAGTCACATTCTCGATCCGATCCCCCCGGTCCCGGGCATTATCCAATAAAGCAACAAAGCCAACATGCGGGGGGGACCTAATCTGTTAGTTATTGCAGAGTGGCATGCCATGACATTCAGAATATTTAGATACAAAGCGCGCATGAAGCAATGTATATATTTGGAGATGAGAGAAGGGATATATATGAGTGTGTGGTGCGCCGGCTTGCAAGAATTTTTAGCGATTTGAGAGGCGGCAGGAGTGCGGATTATAATGTTGCGGCTCACCCTATCGACGCGCGTTTAGTATGCAGGTCGCAATCGCGGTGCCGTCTGCTGCTCATCGCGCCATTTGCCGTAAATCCCTCGCACACATACCCCGCGCAACTTCACCAAACATATACATGTGTGTTATATGCTTTGTTCGGTTTGGTGGTTGTTTAAAGTTAGGTCCTCGCAAAGAATGGTGTTTTTCATATGCACGGTCGAAGATATCCAATAACATCCGAAACCCTGGACCCTCCTCCCGGTATGGTAATCCGCGCATATTACGACGCGGTCTGGCATCGAGGAGCCGTCGACGTGCCCGAACGCCGGCAGCAAACCGCCAAACCTTTTGTCGGATGCTTTCTCGGACAACGCCACTCCATATTCCGCAATCTGCGACCCGCACAAACACTCACACAGAATTGGTACGCGCATGCAAACTGCGAGCATCCCCTCGGGAGCACTTCATTTGCATGCAGCCAGCGCCGCGCGGCGCGAAAATAGCCGCATTAATTAGCATTTAGATGGTTTAATGATAATTAGTCTGCTCGGCGCTTGCTCGGAGCTCGCGTTAGCAGCTTGGGGCGGATAAAAGATGGCGGCGACGGCGGCGGCAACGGAGCCGTTCTGGGGCGCTTCGGGGAAATGGTGTGAAAAGAAGGAAGCGAGCGAGAACGGAGGCGGCGAACGAGCCAAGCGACGCTCGAATTATCGTCGCCGTCGCCTGCGTCTAATCGCGCGGATGTTATGATGAACTCTGGCGCTCCGCCCGAGGACTTCCGGAATAACGATAACGACATCACTATAACTTCGCCTAACAAATTGCGCCGCATTATGCGCAACGACCGCGTAAAAAACGCTCCGTCTTTTTTCGTGAACAACCCTTGTACCATACCTACTAAATATACGCCAGAAGCTGGTGGTAATTGCCTAGCAAAGGAAACGACGTGAATACGCCGAGGATTTTTAAATTTACAAAATATCATTTTACTTTATCTACCTGTGTGACACCAACTCAGTGGGGAGTTAAATTCTGACTATGACTTTTTAATCCCACATTGATTTCTCCAGAGATAATCTTTTGTCACACATCTCCACCTGCAGATTTCACTCCGTTGGGAATTAAATGGTTGGTACGGTACGATATCATCACGTCTAATGTCTCCGAAGACCTGTGCACTGCAGTAAATCGCAGCTTCTTTTCACACAGCCCACCCACGCTAGAAGACGCTAATGGCGAGGAATGCTTCATCTCTGTGCAGCGAAGAAGCAAACAAAATTGGTGATGATAGCGACGATAAACACCGCATTATTCTAATACGTCAGGTATCCGATGACATGAAAAGGACTTGTTTATATATCGCGCACAATGCCGGGTTCTATGATTAATAGTTTGGCTTCCACCACAATGGAGCGCTGGCGAGCTGGCGGACGTGAAAAGGATACGTTTTCCGGGGGCATTACAAATGGCCGGTTAATACCCCGACAGATTATGCCCGAGTTAGCCACGCTTTATACACCGCAGTCCAAACAAACATGAGATTTAAATTTACAGTTTACACGGCTTTTGCAACCGGACCTGCGAAACGAATCGGATTGAACTCGAAACTGCAAAATTTTCCGCTCAATTTTTACCTCACCAATCACTGTGAGATAGAGTCAATAAAGCATTAAAACTGCGCGCGCGCATTTATCCACTTATTTATTTGCGTATTTCAAACAAGATTTAAGAGACATTTCTAGGTCGTAAATCGACAAAGTCAGCAAGGGGCGCGTCCAGCACTCTTGAATTGAAAATTATAATGTAAAGTGCGCGCCAGCCAGAACAAACACACGAACACGAGATAAAGACTGAAACGGAACAACACGAACAGCGGGTAGCCGACGTGGGCAACGAGCCGAAGGTGATATAAGAAGGCCGGCCTGTCGAGAGGGCACCCCTAACTGCCAATTAACTGCACATTCAGCCTTCTCCAGACTGCGGTTAGGACAACGCCGATGCGTCTTGTTCGCATTGTTGAAACGCTAAAAGGCGTGCAATATGGTCAAGGTTATTTCAATACGTGGTATACACGTTTGCTTGTTTTGCCCTTGCACGTTGGTGGGCCACCAAGCAACAGGGTGTCAAAACCCTAAGAACCTTGAATGCACCTAATAGATGTCACCGGAATATTCATTGCCGAAATTTATGACCTTCTCCAAATGTGTAACGCAATGTAAACTTTGAGTATTGTGCCCCACAGTAGAAAAAGAGAACAGTTTGCCCGTTCGTAGAATGCTATCATTTAAAGGACATTAAATTACGGATTTCAAATGTGGTCGCACTAGACTGAACGTGGCGTGAGCCAGTTAGCGAATTTATGGAGTCATGATCCACCTGGACTTGAACGCCGAAGCTTAAAGTTAAACAAACGCTTTCACACGATGCACGTGCCCGCACGTCAATAATAACAGCAATCAAATAAACTGCTGCGTGTGTGGCTGCCTGGTTCCTATTCTTAAGCACATCCGAGTGCCGGTTCAACACGTTTGCTCATTCATCTTAATCGATCGTTCCACTAACGTTCCATAGTTCCACCTTTGTGGAGTTACGCAATAAAACGGCACTTCCGCGCACGCCCTCAGCCTAAAATAGATTTTTCCTTCGGGGGTCGAAAATAAATTAATGACGATTGTTCGCGCGCGGGACCCTTGGATTGGGCCATAGGGTGGCCATCAAGTGGCCTGTCTACAGAGCATGTCGCCACCGCCACCGCATAGTTCCCTGATTGATAGTTTCAGTGAGGCGCGACCCGCGATACACATCTCCGCGAGCGCCTGCCGTTGTGGGACCACACACCACACTACAACAGTTGGAAGTAGAAACGGGGACTGATGTGGTGGGAGCAAAGTGCGAGGCTCCGCCTTGGTTTGGGTAGCGCACAGTTAGCGTTAAACAACGCTCCGCCCTCAGCAACCAGTTTGGAGGTGTTGGGGAGAGAACCGGCCAGTCGTAGTGCTCAGTCTGTTAGCGCAGCTCCTGAAAAGTGGTCCTCGCTATGCGTCGCTATTAGACCCGCCAGAGTTCCACTTGGTTTGCAGAACAAACGTCTGCAGGACATTTTCGCGAGTTTTCCTATTGCAAAACGGGTGTAAGACTGTGTTCGGTGTGCGGGAAACGCGTGTTCAAGTGGTGATCTGCTGTGGTAATGCTTCTTGGAGCCATCATGCCCGAGGAAAGTGCCGCTGCGCTGCTCGTGCCGACGGCGAAAAGTCGCGCCACCGATTTTTCCATAGCCGCCATCATGGCGAGAGACTCCAGTTCGCCGGAACCCTGTGCGCGCAGCCCGGCGACGCCGGAACGTCTCGCATCCGATGGTCAGTACAATCCTACAACATCAAATTCTGCCACATCATCAAAATCTATATCAACAAAGTCCAAGGTATCTAATTTGCTCTTGTCATGTTCGACAGGACGCTACTCGCGATTGAGTTCTCCAAGTCTGGACGCTCCCGAAGACGATGACATCGAAGTGGACGTCGAGGAGTGCTCCGACGGGGAACATTCCTCCGTACGACAGGGAAAACACAAGTCGCGACAAGCATCGCCGCCGATGTCCGATTGTGGGTCCGACGCAGCGGACATCGACCGCGAGAGCCCCGACCTTGTTCCTGTGACAAAATCCACCAAAAACAAAATCTTCTGCAATTGTGACGAGCTCCTGAGCGTCGAGTGCCATTTGGAAACGAAAGATCTCTGGGATAAGTTCCATGATCTCGGCACCGAGATGATCATCACAAAGACTGGCAGGTAGGCACACCAAACTCTTCTAAGCCTTCCAATTTAGCAAATGTGGTTGTTATTTTCCGGCGTCGGTGCGGAACAGTACTTTTTTACCATCTTGCGTCGCTCATTATGAGGCCGCTATTAATTAGTACGCCATTAAAAGTGAACCGTGCACGTCCACGTCATAAAACATAATTCGACCCAACACAACAATCGAGATGGTTCTTAGTTATTAGAGTTCCAACCAACAAACCTTTCTCTTCTATTTATTCAACATGATGATTACGTTCGCGTTGTAAAACTGTTCCAACTAAAAGGCCAAAAAAAAAGAAACCAACAGATAATTGGAAGTTGGGAGCTAGTCGTAATTAATTGCGCGCTCGCTAAATAATTGAACGATTGTTTGAGAGGCGTGAAATTGTGATTTGAACAATTCAATTCGCTCGCTCGAGTGTAGAATAGAGCATCGGAGTCGAGATGAAATCTCCCCTCTAATAAAAATCACAAACAACCAGCAACATCACATCACGACACTTAGAGAACAATCGGGGTTGTCGCCCCTCGTGGCAGTTAAGCGCCGCTACACATCACATCCATGCTAACAATAGACTTCTTGTCCCGGAACAAATCAATAATTAATGTTATCGCAGGCGGTCGTAATTGCCCTTGTCACTAATTAATTTCTTTAATGCCCTAACCAGCAAAACGTTTACCGTCGGTCGCTGATAAAAACAAAACGCGCCCAGAACTGAAATAAAAAATATGTTGTGGAATTTCTGATAAAATATTTTAAATATTAATAAGCCATTAGGCTTTCTGTCGAATCACCCTCGATGCGAGTCGCCCGTCAAAACGTCGAAAACGCACACATTTTTATGCGCTTCATTCATCCGAGAGGAACAGGTGCATCTCGCGCGCGGTGGTTGAAAACAACCCGAGTTTCATATCTCGTAATATCTCCCAACAAAATCTGACACATGTCATACACGCTTCGACCACTAACCTGAACTTGACTGCAGTAGACGCGCCACAAGTCGAATCCATTAGCAGCAGCAACCCTAAAAAGAAAAGAAAGAAAAAATCAAAGTTTTCTTACATGAAACCAACTAAACGCCGAACAAAAGTCTAACATATAACACATATCGATGGTGAAGTCCATTCTTCTAATCCACGACGCAAGCCCGAGCTATGGACGCGCACTTTAATAATTTTAATAGCTTTGCCTTTTATGATCGACATTCTTGACCGCGACGATTTTATTGCCTATCGCGTAATGTATTTATTGTTTGTTAAAATGCAGCTACAACTTTAGCGCATTTAAACTTTCAGGCTCACTCAAGGCGACAACTTTTTCAGCGTTTCGCTTGCAATTAGCGGACAACAAAAGCAGCGTTTGCGTGCGCGGCGTACGTATTCGAGCGTTCGTACACCGCGCGAACAAACTGATTTTTACACCGGCCATTGTAGATTGCGGCGCGAAGCATTGTAAATCGTCAGTCGAGTGACAAATCGCTGCCATTGTCTTGTTAACAATCGGAAACAATTCAACGCCGTTGCAGAATTCACTTGTTTACCAACCCTTCGCCGACTGCAAGTGCAACTCGCGACAAATTGATTACGAGCGGGGTTTTATCGCGGGCGTGCGTGCAAATTAATCATTCGGTCATTCCGATGGGACCACTGGGTTTAATTTCAGTAATTTTGCGCCGGCGGGCAGGGAAGAAACGAGTGTGACAGGAAAATTAGACGCTTTAAATGATGCGCGTCGAGGTCTGTGATAGTCCGCACGCATCCGATCCGTCTGATGCGTTTTTAATCGTCATTTTCATTGCGCGCTTTTTGTCTTGTAGTTAAAGCGTGCTCGAGCACAAATTTGCTCGTATAATCGCACGATATATCTTTATGTTATTGGCCTGGCGTGTTTTATAACTTAATATTGGCGGATCGAGAAAAATTACATCATTAGCAAAGAGTAAACTTATACATAACCTAATAGAATTAAAATAAAACTGGTTTTATGTTTGATTTAATGACATTTGTTGAATGTAGACGACCAAAACCGCAATTACTCTACTCTAATAAAAAAAAAAACGAAACAAAAAACGTTGTGATGTTACTAATAAATAAAATGAAGTAAAAAACTCCCTGCAGTCTAGTGTACACTGTACTGTCATGGTGTACGTGTTTTACAAATGTCGCCGTTGTGTTGATGATCGTATCGCGTGTTCATCGGCGTCAGCGCCTCCACCCGAAAGCTGTTAATGCAGAGAGCGCGCGCGGAGTCGGTGTCGATGCGCGCCGCGGCGAAATAAAAGACAAAAGACAGTCTGCTTTACATAGGACTGCACACCATAAGAGTAATATCACTGCATGTGCTATGTGCATGTCTATATGAATGAAGAAAACGTTGTGTGTTGTTGGCGGCATCCGCCCGCCGGCCCTTTCATCATTACGTTTTCACCCATCGCTTATGTTATTATGTGCTTTCAAGGTGTAAGTAAGCTTTGTAAGGTGCGCGCGTTGTTTTTTGTTCTTGTTTCGAATTAAACCATACGTCCAAAGCTACATTCAGGCGCTTTAGGGGTTTTGCCAAGTTTTTTTCCTTTCATGCGCGAGTTTTTATTCTTTTGCGCGGCAAACATTTTGTTGACACATTTGTTGTGGTGAGTGTAATTTAAGTTTTCGCTTTTGTTTGCCCGTAAATGTCGCTGTTTTTTTGGCTTCGGGGGCCGGAAAGTGACACACGCGCGCGCAGTCTGGAGGACTTAAGTCGCGGTGTGCTTGAAACCATCAAGCGATCAAGCCCACGCTCAACGACTACCGGCTGTGCCGCGACTTTTTGGAAGTTGAAAATAATATCGCATTAAATCGTCAGCCTCCAGGTCATTTTCACGACTGTTGGGCCCCGCTGTCTCTGCCCATGCAATCGCCACAATTCACTGGCGATGGTCTGGTCTCGTCGTGGTGTCATTTTGTCGTTTTCGTTCTGCATTCACTGAGCTAACCACACAATTCGGTTAGCTCGTGTGGTTGTTATATTATTACATTATTGTGAGTGTTACCTCCGCGTCACGTTTGTATGAGCTACATTCGATTGTTGTGGTGTGTGCATTGCGACAGCCACCTCGTTACCGCTATTGTCCCACCTCGGTGCCGGAACATCTGTCCGCATCCCGAAACGGCGACACACAACTACGACACCACGATGACGAGCACAACCACGTCGGAATCACGAATGAGACAATGATCGGGTGCGACCTACTCATGATTACCTGACTCGCATACAGGATATCAACATCACAACTCTATAAAAAACTTTGGTAATATTTCCCGCAAATTAAAAACACCCAGTATATTTGATATAGTTTACAATAAATCTCATTGTCTGGCCTCTTGGGGACTACGATTGCTTGTTAGTGGATTTTATGTCATTTCAAGAAGGGAATTTTTATGCGCTTTAAACATTTAACATTTGTATTACCTACTTTGGGACAAGCGCGTATTAAAAAACAATTTGTTGGGACCTATCGGGCGTTGTGATCGCGCTCCTGTTATTTACGATTGAGTATCGATGGTCACATGGTGGCGCTCAAGGCGAGCGCACCACCACCATCTTCGGTAGGATATCATATCCGTTTCCAACGTATTCTCTTTCGTTCTGTACAGCAGGTGGGTATCATCAGATACAATCGGGACACATCTTAATTGCTGGATAACTCTATCAACACACTTTACGACCATTTCGAATGATGTTTGATCAGTTACAAGTAAAATTTTGCATAAAAGTCGAAATAATTTATTTGGAAACATTCCAATATAGAAGCTTACTGAAAATTTGATTATGCATCTGTGTTTTTGTCTGGTTAGGTAGTTAGGTTATGTTGTGTCAGATGAGAGTTTACGACGCTGGTCACTCTCGCAGGTTATTACACTCATTCGGTACGGGGAGAAACACGAGGCGAGCGCGGAATAATCGTTAAATCGTTGTCGATATTACATATTACACATTAAGTTCCCTGGTGTGTGCATTGTTGTTGAGCTGGGTGCCAGCGAGCGACACTTGTTAAGTGTTTTTAAGACCCAAGCGCGATTATAAAAAACGCGTCGCCTGTTCAAGCGCCCAGCGTGCGATCCACGGAGCCGGTCATAACGTCGACTTCTTTGGGCGCTGTACGATACTGCGATTTCGTTTCGATTAATTATAATTGTTCCACGCGGGTCGACGGGTCGTTTTGTTGACAGCCCGAGTGCCCCCGCGGAGTGGAGAAGAAGAAAAAAAACAGCTCTTGCTTTTATTACGTTTCGAGATGTTTTGAAAATCTTTTGCTGCACATAAAATATGAAAAACTAATTGAATTGGTACACAAGGCATATAATAATGGATGCGAGGGTGGAATCTCACCTTGACCATAAATTAAGTCTGAAAAGCCCTGGTATTTACAAGAAAAGAGGGCCGTTTAGGAATGCGCGCGCCCGAAACGAACGAAAGCGGCGGAAAAAGCAATTTACTGGGCTTACGCTGGGAAATCAATGAAGACAACTTCGGCCCACCCCTCGCGTTCGAGAGCGAGGGGAGAGTTTTCCGAATTATATACACTACCATTTGGTATAATTCCGGAAATGTAGCGGGAAATGGCGCCGTAATGCTCTCGCTACGCCGGCTGATGCTCTCTTCTTCTCGGGACCCCGCCCGACCTCTCCGCGATGGGGTCGGGTGCGGGCGGATAGTTAATTAGAACTCAGATTTCTCTCTAAATCAAATCACGCCGGGGATTGCCGCATTTGTTACGCAGGGCTTTGCAGCATTTAGATTCGGATTAACTTTCTACAATCGGGGACAACCTCAAGCCTCCCTTTCTGCAAAAATCGAACCTTTAAGAGACCAACAATGTCAATAGACAACAAGCAAGCAATAAAACACACACGCACACAATAACTTTATGGAATGTTTTGCTCATTGAGGTTTGACACGATGAAATCTTTGTATGCTTCAAAAATTTGTATTAGACTGCTGGTAAACAACTTTCCAATGTTCTCGGAAGTTACCATCAGTCGTCACCAAACACCAAAAACCATGAAAATCGACAACAATCACTCTGACTAGGGCAAGTAAAGCCGAGTCAAGTTGAGTCACGTTGACTCCAACAAGGTCTCCTAGCTAATTTTCAACGTTATTCTAAATTGGTCCATTGACCGCGTCCTAAAAACCATCATTCACAGATAAGAATAGAAAACAAACAGAAATTTGCGATTGTAAGACGAGCAGCGGGTGGGACGATGGCTCGTAAATCGTGGAACGTCAACGGCTCGCTCTAGGTCGGGTTCGGACGACGCGAGGTGGGTGGGCAGCACCAAGGACTAAGATTTAACAAGTGTGTGTCCGTTTACGACCCGAGCGCGTCCGTCCACTTCCAGTCGTATGACATTTTATTGCATACAACATAAATATTGCGACACATTGCCAACATCAGCAAAGCAAGTCTCAAGTTCAAATCATAGGAGTCGAGGTCAGCTCCTCAATAGAACCGTAAAATCTACAACTATTAATCGGCAAGCACAATTAATAAAAGCATATTTCTGGGAGCACTTAATGCATGAATGAATGAATGAACGAACGCAGCGAGTGTATGTTTAGTGTTTCAGGCAGTGGTCTGGCGCGAGAGCCGGAGTTAATTACAAAGCGATCATTAATACCCCAGCTGACACAGTCCCAGCCGCAGCTGCGCGCTGTCAACTTATGAGTGCCCATCATATAAAACAAAGAGAGGAAATTATGATAAATATCGCGTTTTTATATGATAATTTTTATTTACATTTTCGAGCCGACCCGCGAGATCCAAGGCATACCACCAGAGTGGTATTAAGTCGCCCCAAAAGTCTTATTCCGGCTTCGCATGTCCGACAACTCCGCGGTGTAAATTATTAATCCATTTAACGTTCGTCGGTCACGTCGCGTTACAAAGCCGTTAAGTAAATCAACGGCGTTTCGGCCAACTTAAGACACATTACAGAACACCCAATTTTCGGTCCAATTCGTGCTGGTTCAAGATTCAGCCCA